GTTCTCACTCATATAGTGGACCTTGAACATCCAATGTAATACTATAAGAAAATGACTGACAGTGGTGGAAAACTATGGGGGGGAGGGGAAGGGAGATCGGGATTAACGGTAGTAAATACGTGTCTGGGGACAGGGAGACACCTCTTATCAACAAGGGTGCCTGAATGAAGCATATTTGTATACCTAACCCTTAACCGTACCCCACAATATCATAATAAAAAATATTGATTAAAAGTAAAAAAATTAAAAGAGGAGGTACATGTGCATTCTACCCAAACTCCTTATTTAGATTTTTCAGTTGAAAAGCTGGAGAATGACTATGGCTTTATGCTTTAGCAAAACAACTAATTTTTCATATTTTTATTTATTTCTATGCATAATATTCTTTATGTTGGTTCCTCCTCTGCTATTTAGCAGTTGCTTCCAGTTTCTGGTATTGTTAAACTATAAGGTCATAATGCCAAATCTAAGGCATGTCTTGTTTCTCAGACAACATTTACTAGTAGAAAGCTTTATTTCTCAAAATGGTCCATATGACTTTATCCATTTACATTTATAGAGCATCATAGAGATTTGTTAAAGTTTTCATTATTTACATATGACTGATTCACTCCACTGCTCTTTAGGCTTAAAAAAGAGTAAAACAAGATTGACTTATTGCCAAGCTAATTTACATGAATAGTACTAAGCCAACCTTTTGCTTCCTTTGTAGCTTCCTTACCCCTCACTTACTTTGTGTTTCTCTCTAGAATTAAGTATTAATTTATATTGAAGCGATAGTTTTTTTAATGATCATTGAGCAGGCAAGAAATAAACAGTATAATTTTGAACACTTTCCTTTTTATCCTAAGGATTTATGCTGCAAAATATTCTATCCCTCCTCAACCATAAAGTCACAGAATGTATTGTCTCTTTAGTAAAACATAGATCTAGAAAGTGGTAGGTAAAACATAGCATTATAATATATTCAAATTCTTAAAACAGCATATATTTCATATTTTTATTTTATTAATATTTTATGTGCATGATATTTTTGTGCCAATGACATGAGATATCAGAGCTATTTTGGAAGTTAGGTCTGAAAATTGGTTAATATATAAGAGTAGACATAGTAGAACTCTAAAACAAACAGTTGCCCATAAAAATGGTCTTGAGATGATATCATTATTACTTAATCAAATCATGGGGTATATGTTTCATTTGTTTTGCATAATTGGGATCCTTTGCAGGAGAAGTGCAGTGACAACTAAGGCCCAAGCAGAGAAAAATTGAGGCCAATCAGAGGGGAGCTGGCATCAATCTGAAGGAAATTGAGGCCAATCAGAAGGATCTCAGAGCTAACTGGAAGAAAATGGACACAATTCAGAGAGATCCCGAGGCCACTTAGAGAGCTCTCATTGTCAATCAGAGAGATCTCAAGGGCAACTAGAGAGATCTCATGGCCAATCTGAAAGATTTCATGGCCAATATGAAAGATCTCATGGCCAATTCAAGAGATCTAATGGTCAGTCAGAGAGATCTTGTAGCCTTTCAGAGACATCTCCTGGTCAATCAGAGAGATCTTGTAGCCATTCAGACAGATCTCATAGCCATTCAGAGAGCGTTCATGGTCACTCAAAGAGATCTTGTGGCCATTCAGAGAAATCTTATGGCCAATCCAAGAGATCTCATAGTCAATCAGAGAAACCTCATAGTCAATCAGAGAGATGTCATAGCCATTCAGAGAGATCTCATAGCCATTCAGAGACATCTTGTGACCAAACAGAAAGATCTTGTGATGACACAGAGAGATCTCATGGTCACTCAGATCTCATGGCCATTCAGAGAGATCCAATGGTCAATCAGAGAGATCTCGTAGTCACTCAGAGATATATCATAGCCATTCAGAGACATCTCATGGCTGATCAGAGAGATCTCATGGCCACTCAAAGAGATCTTGTGACCATTCAGAGGTATCAAGTAGTCAATCAGAGAGATCTCATGGACAATACAAGAGATCTCATAGTCAATCAGAGAGATCTCATGATCAGTCAGAGAGCTCTTATGGCCAATCAGAGAGATCTTGTAGCCATTCAGAAAGATCTTATGGTCAATTAAAGAAATCTTGTGACCAATCAGAGAGATCTTATAGTCATTCAGAGACATCTCATGGTCAATCAGAGAGATTTTTTAGCCATTCAGACAGATCTTGCAGCCATTCACAGAGATCTTATGGTCACTCAAAGAGATCTTGTGACCATTCAGAGAGATCTGATGATCAATCAGAGAGATCTCATAGCCATTCAGATACATCTTGTGATCAATTAGAGAGCTCTCATGGCCAATCAGAGAGATCTCATAGTCATTCAGAGAGATCTCATGGTCACTCAAAGAGATCTTGTGACCATTCAGAGAGATCTGATGGTCAGTCAGAGAGATTTCATGGCCAATCCAGGAGATCTCATAGTCAATCAGAGAGATCTCATGACCATTTAGAGAGATCACATAGCCATTCAGAGAGATCCCTTAGCCATTCAGAGAGATCTCATGGTCACTCAGTGAGCTCTTATGGCCATTCAGAAAGATCTTATGGTCAATCAGAGAAATCTCATGGCCAATCAGAGAGATCTTGTAGCCATTCAGAGAGATCTCATAGCCATTCAGAGATATGTCATGTTCAATCAGAAAGATCTTATAGCCATTCAGAGATCTCATGGTCACTCAAAGATACCTCATGGCCATTCAGAGAAATCTTATGATCAATCAGAGAGATCTCATGGCCAATCTAAGAGATCTTATAGTCAATCAGAGACATCTCATGGCCAATCAAAGAGATCTCATGGTCACACAGAAAGATCTTATGGTCACTCAAAGAGATCTCATGGTCATTCAGAGACATCTCATGGTCAATCAGAGAGATCGCATAGCCACTCAGAGATACCTCATGGCCATTCAGAAAGACCTTATGGTCAATCAGAGAGATCTCATGGCCAATTCAAGAGATCTCATAGTCAATCAGAGAGATCTCATAGCCATTCAGAGACATCTCATGATCAATCAGAGAGATCTCATGGCCAATCAGAGATTTCCTGGCCACACAGAAAAAACTTGTGGCCACTCAAAGAGATCTCATGGCTATTCAGAGAGATCTTACAGTCAATCAGAGAGATCTCATGGCCAGTTCAAGAGATCTCAGAGTCAGAGAGATCTTATGGCCAATCCAAGGGATCTTATAATCAATCAGAGAGATCTCATGGCCAATCAGAGTGATCTCATGGCCACATGGAAACATCTCATGGTCACTCAAAAGAGGTCTCATAGCTATTCAGAGAGATCTTACAGTCAATCAGAGAGATCTTGTGGCCAGTTCAAGAGATCTCATAATCAATCAGAGAGATCTTATGGCCAATCCAAGAGATCTTATAATCAATCAGAGATCTCATAGCCATTTAAGGACATCTCATGGCCAATCAGAGAGATCTCGTGGCCACACAGAAAGATCTCTTGGTCAAAGAGATATTGTGCTTACTCAGAAAGATCTCATGTCTTATCAGAGAGATCTCATGGTCAATCAAGGAGAACTCATTGCCAATCAGAGAGATATCAAAGCTACTCAACAGTAGGAAGATTCATAACATCACGCAAAACTAAGCCCAAATTTGACAGGTAAGAATACAATGAATTCTGAATTATTACTACAATGTATTGAATGCTGTGGAAATGGAAAGGCATACCTTATGTATTTATATTCTAACGGCTAAATATGTATTTGTTATAACAGACATCTACTGGGACAAAAATATTAATAGAATAGAGATAATATATACATGGTATCAGTGTTCTCTTAACTTGTTGATGTCTTCTAGTTATCATCCAGTAATACAAGGGATCCCATTAAGTTGTTCCATCTAGGTCTGCTTTTCCTGCCAGAGCCCTGAGTACTCGGCTTTCCAACTGAGTCTTCCCCACAATCACAATATATTGACTCAGTGTTCTATCCCCTTTAGACCTTCCAACCTGGTAGGAAAACTAATCTAACAACAAACTGCAAAACTGATCATACATAATCTATGATTATGAATTTCTGTGTTTCTTTCTTCTGCCTCCTTTCTGCAGAGTGCCCAGAGAGCCCTTAGCAGACAAATGATAGATGTGTCTTTGGGCAGCTGAACTTTTCTGCTTTCTTCAAATCAAACCATAAGACCAGATGCCTATTCTATGTATAGATGCACTACTAACCTTCTAAATATTATTTGAATACATTGTGTTATTCACTATTGCCTTATAAAACCTAGCAAAAGGACCAGAGAAATTTAAATAGTACTGTGGGTTGAGTTTTTAAAAACACAAGACATTTGTATTGTAATTTGTTAGGTTATTGACTTAACATTTATTTTTAATTTGAATTTCTTAGTGATTGCCCTCAGTTTGCATTGGCTATAAATATCTACTCAAATATTTCTAGCTCATATTAACCACTACACAAAATTACTGATTTTAGTTAAAAATTATTTTCAAGATGTGCGTATTAGTTATTTCATATATAGACAATGTCTGATGCAGGCACCATTTTAATGCAAAAGGGCCTATCTTACTTATATTAGCAATATACACATAATTTGGTATAACACTTAAAATATATTTAATACTGGTGACAAGCAATTCATATTTCTGCATTTATCAGGGATTTTTACATATTTTACTTATCAGTTTTTGTCAAGTAGTATAATACTTTCAGACACCGAAATTTTTGTTTCTCAAGTGGTATAATAATACTTCCAAGGCATTGAAATTTTCATTTACATTATTGTCCAATGACATATTCCTATCATTCTGCAAATATATTTTAAAATATAATGAACAAGCCTGTTTAGTTTTTTCTTTTATCTTCTATTATAATTTTTTTAATATACTCAACACAAGTAAGTACTACTTGAATGGTTAATGTTAAATTCACCAAACGTAGAACTGTTACAAAAGAACACAAAGTACAGAAAATTAAGACTTTTTATAATTGATCTTTTGGAGATTAATTCTTCCACTCCATAACTTTCTATTCTAATATGTATTAGAATAAAAATAAGTTGACCAGACAGGTTTAAAAATATCCTCCACAACTGGAGTTTGCTTCTATGCCAAGTATAAAATAAAAACTTCACTAATTTCATGATCCCACACAAAATTTTTCCTTCAGACCAGCTTCACCAGAAGATAAAGATAAGCCAGAGATGCTAAGTGTATTTCCACCTTAAATAAACACGTCAATTTAGAAAGCCGATGTGGTCTTAATCAAAGCTAGGTAACTGGGCAAACACCTCAAATAAAATGATAGCACATATAGGGTATTATTTATTTATGAAGTTTACAATAACTATTTTCTTTTTCAAAAAACTAGTATGATTCATGAAATTAAGTTTAGCCTACAGCTGCCTCCTGACATATTTTAAGTTTGGGCCTGACAGTTTCTCCACAAATAGTAAACCATAACCTAACTGGATGTGTAAACAGACCGTAACCTACTCTTGTGAGTTTCAGCCAAAGAGGGCCAAATGTTCAAGTTGTGTTCAAATAAGACAAATGCTGAGCTGTAACCCATCCAACTGTTTCTGTAGCTTACTTTTGATTCCTGTAGGTCACTTTTCTTTTTCTGTCCACAAATCTTCTACCGTGTGACTATGCTAGAGTCTTTCTGAACATTTTCTGGTTTGGGGGCTAACAAAGTCATGAATTGTTCTTTGCTCAATTAAATTCTATTAAATTGGCCGGGCACGGTGGTTCAAGTCTATAATCCCAGCACTTTGGGAGGCCAAGGTGAGAGGATTGCCTGAGTCCAGGGGTTTGAGAGCAGCCTAGACAATTTGGTGAGACCTTGTCTCTACAATAAATAAAAAAAAATTAGTTGGGTATGGTGGCGCATGCCTGTAGTTTCAGCTACTTGGAAGGCTGAGGCGGAAGGATCACCTGAGCCCAGCAGGTCGAGGCTGTGGTTGCCATAAGCGTGTCACTGCACTCCAACCTGGATGACAGAGTGAGACACCAGCTCAAAAAAAAAAATCTGTTAAATTTAATTTATCTAAGGTTTTTTTTTAACATTCTCAATAAAAATTCTAAACACGATTATTTTTTAAAGCCACAGGAATTAAAATTTTCAGCTCCTCTAAAATACCTGGTAACAATTTCACCTTTTTCTCCTCTTTCCTGATTGGTATTTATATTCACAGTCAAATGCCTTTCTTGACTGGATTGATAGGTATATCTAGAGGGATAGCAGAACCAAAACTGTCTTTTGTACTCCCACTAAGTAACTTACATAAAGTGAGTAAAATCTGCACATCTTTACCCTAGCTGGGCTGTCCACCTGATTGAAACATAGACAATAGCTTCAGAGGAAAGAGTGCTATTTAAATTCCAATTCTAGAATGACAATTTTTATGTCATTACCACTCAGCACCACTTTGGTTTTGTGTGTGTGTGTATGTGTGTGGGTGTGTGTGTGGGTGTGGGTGTGGTCGTGGGTATGTGTGTGTGTGTTTGAATTGGGGTCTCGCTCTGAGTCTCAGGCTAGAGTGCATTGACCCGCTTGAAGTTCACAGCACCCTCAACCCCCTGGGTCCAGGGAATCTTCCACTTTAGCCTTCCAAGTAGCTGGGGCTACAGGCCGACACCACCATGCCTGGCTAATTTTTTTTTATTTTTTAATTTTTTTTAGGGATGAGCCCAAGCTGGTCCCGAACTCCTGGGATCAAGCAATTCTCCCACTTTGGCCTCTCAAAGTGCTGGGATTACAGGCATGAGCCACCGTGCCCGGCTTTTTTGGATTTTAGTACTAGACAGCATTCAAAGTAATTTTGAAATAGATTCAGATCTGATTATAATTGA